GGCCACAAATTCGAAGCACTTAGAGAAATAAATGATAGTTGGGTTGAGTCTGTTATGACTCTAAAAAAATTTAGAAGTAGTTTAGTATAGTAGAAAGTTTATTTGGAGTAATAAGTGTTGTTATTAGACCACATTGTTGGAATAGTAATTCAGTGACTACATCCAATATATGACCGAACTTATTTCTAATGCCACTGATAGTATTTGAGGAAAGACGTAGATATATTGATAGAAATAAAGTTTTGGAATTGAATGAGATATATAATTGTCAAACTTAATTAGCTTTGAATAGGAATACACAATAACTATTATATTTAGAATAACTTGGAAGAGTTTGGCAACATCACACGCATAAGACTTTCAAGGCAACCCTATATTTATAGCATGCATCCACCTCCTTAGTACTAATCTTAGCTTCTACATAATTCTAGAACTATACTACTCATTATTTTAAATCTATTGCCTTATAGTATTTACAACAACTTTTTAGAATATTCTAGATATGTACTTCTACTAGTTGTTTCTAGTTTCTTCTAAATAAGTCTTTAAATTTCTAGAAAAATGGGCATCAACATATACTTTAACAACCCTCGATCTCGAATATGAAGGTCTACATCAGATTTGTTTCCATTGCGGGAAGTATGACCATCTTATGGACCTTAGCCCTCAACGTTTACAAGAATCAACGGAATTGGTGGATGGGAAGTTGTTTGACCCATGGATGTTAGTTAAACACAATAAAGGCAAGCGCAAAAATAATGAGAAAGGAGGTGCCCCGAAGGGCAAGAGAAATCCCAATGAGAGGCTTCCTTTGATAGGGGGAAATAGATTTTAATGCCTCTCCTAATCAATGCAATTTTTAAGGAGTTCAAGTATCATAGATGTTGAGAAATAATAATAATGACCCGTTATCTAAGGAATATCAAGTAGGAGTGCTAATGCTAAAGGCTTTAGTACATTGATTAAAGATATTAAAGAGATGTTTTATATCTTGGATTTGATGGCGTTGCTAAAGTTGATGTTCATGGTAGAACTAGTGGTATCTGGTGTTTATGGGACTCAAATTCTTGGGATGTTCGTGTTTTATAGGCTACGTCTCAAGCCCTTTTAATGGGGGTGTTGGAGCAATTAGGATTCTATCTACTATCTATAGTAGTCGACATTTCTCTCTTAGTTAGATATGGAAGCAGAGATGGATATTTCTACCTTGGTGTATGATTGGAGACTTCAATGTTGTAGCCTCTAAAGAGGAAAGAATGGTCATGAAATACTTAATTAAGAAGTAAAGTCAATATTCCCATATATGACATGACATCGCTACAAAATAAAGTAAGAACAAACATCACAATTAATATGTTATAAAATGTCACTTGAAAAAGTAAAGGTAATTATTAAATTCACTAGAGTACTCACATCAGCATTGTTAATTGTTACCACATGTTAAAATGGCGTGGGGAGCATAATCTTCATTGTCATTCCGACTACCATCTCGTGTAGCTCCTTGTTCAAAGACATAACCAAAATTTCATGACTTGATTGTTGATAATAAGGTTCTTGATAATCTGTTGATGATGACTCGTAAGGTGGAAATTGTCCACTTGCATATTGATCATGTGTATAATAACCATGTGGATAATGTGACGGATGCATTGGATTGTATCCTTGACTACTTTGGGATGTTTCATCAATGCTAAAATCACTAAAACTTTGTGCAATACTAGAAGATGAAGCATCTTCAAGTGTAATATTTTATTTCTTTTTTCCTTTCCTAGATTGCGACTTAGTTCTACTATTACCATTACATGAATCACTAGAATGAATCATACTCGATCTATGAATCGTGACATCTATGAGGTTATGATCACGCCTATGCAAAGGCATCTCCTCATATGGATCATTGTGCATTTGCTCACCTTTATCATCACTTCCTCCAGCCTCAAAATTACCACCGTCATTGCCACCATCGTCACTAGGTGGGCTTAAACCACCACTATTTTCATCAGAACCAACATTATCACTATCAACTTCCATATTCTCGTTTTCATCATCAATATCAATTATAGGAAGCCACTCTGCATTTTGTGCTCCATCTAATGCTGGATTTTCCCTTTCTTCTGTCCATTCAGACAATGGATCATCTTCTTGAAATATGTTGTCAAGATTAATAGGATTAAAACTTGGTTCAATTTCTTCTTGACTTCTTCTCATTTCAGTTCTCATATTCAACTTCATATTGTAAAATGTATAGACAAGTCTATGCAACCTATTATATGCGAGTCTATTCCTTTTCTTTGTATGAATGTAGCTAAATATGCTTCAGTTTCTCTCACAATTTGTGGCTGAAGATGTTTGACTAAGAACTTTAATTGCAATGCTTTTAAGTTCAGGAGAGCATGAACCAAATATCATCCACCATTCATCTATTTATATCAATGGGAAAATAAACAAGTTATTATACTCGTAAAAAGTGTTTTAAATATACTAGTATAAAGAAATATGAGAAATGTTATTTTACCTGGATTCATTCTAGACCAAGCTGCTTGAGCTTGAGGTGTATCAAATGTCTCTGATTTATTTCTAAAAAGAAGCAACTATATGTAACATAAAACATGTCATTATATAAATATATAATCTTAAATTATTATTTAAAATATCAAAATATAAGATTTCATTATGAACTAGTGAACCTGATTCAAAACTTTAATTTACTTATAGATGCAACTTTTAAGTTTCATGATGACATTACTTGGTCCATCAAATGTTTCTTTATAGACATCAGTTCCATGTTCAAATCCATATTGGAATTGTGGGTTAAGAAAATAACCTATCAATTTATTAAAGTGTGAATATTATAATGAAGATATGAAATTATGAATCATGTGTTAAAATTGAATATAAAATTTTACTAACATACTTGCAGAGTGAAGAACGGAGTGCATGAATTTCCATCTCTTATCAACTATATCATTGTATTGAGAATGATAGTGATAATGTTTTTGAATTTATTTGTTTAGTTCGATCAATTGCTTCATAAAGAAAACTCATTGTGGGTTTTGTGTCACCATCCATCGGCCTTAATACTTTGACTATATGCTCAAACACTTTTAGTATATCTGTAGCCCTACTCCAGAATTCATGATCCAACACAATTTTTCTTGCTTCAAGTGCTGGCCCATTCTTTTGTTTGTAAAATTTAGATTTTTTGAATTCTTCAGAGTTGAACATTTGTTTCAAACCTTGCTTTTGATTCACAATCGCTTGAAGCTGCAAGAACTTTGTTGCAAATCGAGTGATGTTAGGACGAACAATTTCTCTACCTCCAGTATATTTTTTCATAAGATTTACTGTCCATATGTGGTTATAGATGAAGGTTATCACCGTCTTTGCTTCCTCCAATGATTTTTGCACACTTTTCTTTTTTTCCAATATCCTCCAAGCAAAGATCCAAACAGTGAGCTGAACATGCAGACCAATATAAATGTGGTCTCTTTTCCATTAACTTTTGGCTAGCTGATTTAAGTGTTTTTTCATTATCTGTAACAATTTGAATGACATATTCTTCTCCCACTTCATCCATGATTTTATTCAACAACTAAAAGTAGTAATTTGTGTTTCTCCTATCAACATCAGATGCATCAACAGAATTTGTGAAAATAGTTCCTTTGCTGGAGTACACAAGAAAATTCAGAATGTGCTTATGGTTTATACTATCAGTCCAACCGTCACACATTATCGTTACTCCAGTCTCCTTCCATGTGCATTTCAATGTTTTGATCCATTCACGCATATTGTTATACTCAGCTTTCAAACACACAATCGAAATTTCATAAGGGGTTGGACATTTAACTCCTTGACCGACCTCAGCTGCTGGAACAATTAAATTATGAAACCAATGAGACCTCGTTACATTCATGGGCAATCGTTCATAGATTATAAACTTTCGCGAAGCTTCTCTAAGCTTCTTCCTAGTCGCATCCATAAAACGACTTGTTATTTTAGGTTGTTTCGCACTTTTACTTCTCACTATATCAACATCTATAGACCTCAAATTAAAATCGATATCTTACGATCTTGAAGCGTCCTAAAACTTACACGAGAACTTCCACCTTGCTCATATATATTCTGAGACCCCCTTGTTTGTTGCCTAAAATGTTGCCTTTGTTACCATTCATATTGTGAATTAAGGCTTGCTTGTTTAGATTGCCTCACTTGCTCATCAATATCTTCTTCATTAGTATCCTCTCTTAAACGTGCTTCAAACTCATCATTTCTTTTTTTGGAGTCAATTTTTTTTTTCTTTTCCATCTAGGAGGAGTTTCATCATGCTTTCTCAAACTACACTAGTAACTCTAGGACAACCAACCACTTGTCCTTTATAATGTGCTATATGTTGCTTCAATCTAGTGATACCCCTTTTGATCATTTTTCCACAGATTTTACATTTAATATTATTTCAATATTCAGATACTTGTGCTCCAAAATGTCATCCAATATCTTCACTTGGAGCACCCTCTAACCTTTTAGTTGGAAATTCTTCTCTTGGAGGCATTGTAAAAATTTTACACTACCTGAATGTAGAAAAATATATAAGTTTACAACAATTATCTAAATATATAGTAATTTTCTTAAATATGTCTAAATAATACTAATTTTTTTAACATGTATTAATTTTCTAACTTATCAATAAATTAATTTTCTTAAATATATAATACTAACTTATTAAATTTCTAAATGTATTAAATTTTAACTTATCAATGAACTAATTAAGCTCATTTAGCAAGGCCTAATTTTAAACATATTTATATTTATTTTGGAGGTTTTATTTGTGAATTGGTGGGTGGGAAAAATTCCCACCATTCATTCCCAAAATTAATTCCCCCATAATTTCACTCATTTCATTCCCAATTCATTTATTTCACAGTTTTTTCTTTCTCTTTTTCCTTCCCCCTTTCCCCTTTCCCCTTTCCATTTCCTTCTGATTTTATTTCACGGTTTCTTCTTTCCCCTTTCCCCTTTCCCCTTTTCCTTTTCCTTCTCATCTTATTTCACGGCTTCTTCTTTCCCCTTTCCCTTCCATTTCATTTTATCACATATTCACGTCCCTTTCTCCCATCCTCTCCACTTTCTTGTTATTTTCTCAACATCTTCCACTCTCCTCTCTCAAGCTACTCAACTCTCATCTCCCACAGCCAACATATCTAAATCATCTAATCTATCTTAGATTCTCAGAAGAAGAAAAAAAGAAATACAAAAGGGATGAATGGTTTTACTTGGTGTTTACCTTGTCGATCTGCTTTAAAGTTGTTCGTTGTGGTGATGGGTGGATGTTGGATTGCTGGAAGGATCTCTTAGAGTTTGGAGGACGTGAAATTAGCAAGAAGGAAGAAAGAAGTTGTGGTGAGTGAAATTGTGAATTATTGCACTACATGTCATTACTTTTCTACTCTAAAGGTCTTTTGTTTTTTGCTGGAAATTGTCTTGGAATCTTTTCTGAATTCTGAGTTTCTGACATATAAAAGTTGGATTTGAAATCAATTTTATCTTCTTCTTCTTGGAATTATGTTTAATCTTCAAAGTAAAAATGCACTATTGTCGTTACAAATCTGAATTCGTCCCGTTGCGGCCGCAACAGTGTTTTGTTGCGGTTTTTTGTGTGAATTTCAATCACACCGCAATTGTGGTGCGTTGCTGATGCGTTCGCATTATGAAAGGTTTTAATTGTTGTTGATATGACATTTTTAACAGCGGTTATTTACGCAAGCGCTGTTGATATGACATCTTTAGCAACGTTTATTTACGCTTTAACAGTGTTTATTTACGCAAGCGTTGTTGATATGACACATTTAACCACACTTATTTATGCAAGCGTTTTTAATATGATATCTTTAAAAGCATTTATTTACGCAAGCACCGTTAAAGATGTCATATCAACATGTATTAAATATTGTTATGATAAAATGTTATTTTTGACATAACTTTTAAATCACTAATCATAATTTGACATATTATATATGTATTTGGGGTATAAAAGTTTATTCTATCCAAATGTTCTCACCATGTCAGAAAGATGCACCCTGAAATTCGAAAAAAAATTATTTTTACTATTTTTTTTTATTTTACAAGTTTTATAGTGAATATGTTTTGATAAAGTTAGTGTAGCTAAAAAGTCACATATTTAATAACGCTTTTTTAGATAATGTTTTTTTAGATAACGATGTTAAAAGTCATACATTTTTGTTTTAGTGGGCGTGAATTTTTGCAGATTTAAAAACAAAACATCACACACAATAATACACATATCATTCACTTCTTACTCTTATTCACTTAGTTTTTCTCCTCAAGCAATTTATTAGCTTCTGGTTTCTCTAATCGAGCATTACATCTACGTTAACTGCTTATTTTATATTACATCTACATAACATTCTCTTTGATTCACTCTTTCTCTTTGCTTTTACATCTACGTTAACTGTTTATTTTATATTACATGAAATGTCAAGGTTAAATCTATATGAAGTTGTTGTTGATTTACCAAACTTGCAATCTCTGTATGTATTTCTTGTATTTGATTATTATTTTTCATCCATAATTTATATGTAACTTTTGATTTTATTCTTGTTATATTGAATCTGACTGTACTTTATGTCCTCTTATTTCTTCGATTAAGGGAGAGAAGAAAATCATATATTTGTCATCTACATCTTCATCATCTTCGTCCTAATTTTAATTACTACGTATGGTTATCAAAGACAAGTTCACGCAATGGTTTGATTTCATTCTTATTATATTGAAGCTTCTTATGTGTTTGATAAAATGTCTGAAAGAGATTTTGCCTTATTTAATATGAGTGTAGTTAAATGAGTGATGCTAAAGGTGAGATATCAATAGTACTTATGATGAACACTGTTAAAAAAAATCATGTACATATATAACAGCACTTGTTGGAGGTGGCGTTGTTGTATGTATGACATACAACGGCGCATGCATAAGTGCTGTTAAAGCATACCATATACTATTGCGCTCACATTATTCCCAAAATGTGCGTTGTTGATTTACATATTTGGCGTAGTGTATGTGTATAATTCAACAATGCTCATTGGAGGCGGCATTTTAGTCTTTAAAAATTAGAGTATCAGTCCTTGAAGTCTCGCTTGAGCGAGAGATTCTCGCCTGAGCAAGAAAGGATCACCTGGGAGGGTGAAATCCTGGGCTATACTGGAAGATTCTCGCCTGAGCGAGAGTTGTCTCGCCTCGGCGAGAAATGGCAATTTTGGGCAGTGTAATCGATTACACAGTCCTGGTAATCGATTACATGCTGATAAAAGCATCAGATATATGTATTTTGCATGATGTAATCGATTACACAGTCCTGGTAATCGATTACATGCTGATAAAAGCATCAGATATATGCATTTTTAACTTATGTAATCGATTACACCATATGGTAATCGATTACATCTATTTGCTGAGCAAGAATTGCTCACTGTGAGATTCTCGCTTGAGCGAGAATGGGCTTGCTTGAGCGAGAACCCGACGAATGCTATTTAAAAATAGAAACCCAAACACATTTTAGGGTTAGAACTTGAAGAGAAGAGAGAGAATGGGGCTTTTCAAGAGCAAAGAGCCTTAGGACTCAGCTTAGAGCTTGAGAAGAGGTAAACCTCTTGTTTCTAACTCTTCTTCTTCCTCTCTAACTTGTTTTGGGTATGTTGGATTCATTTTCAAAATAATGGAAACCATGAAAACTCATCTTTTCGAGTTATGGTTCATTTTATGTTGTTTCTATCTTGTAAACTCTTGGTTTAGAGTTAGTATTTCAAGAAATGGAAAGGTTTGGTGGTTGATTCATGAAAACCCCAAAACCCTAAAGTGAAAATGAGGTTAAATAGGAAAATGAGTAAAATGTTATAGGTAGGAGATGAAATGTTAGATGTGGATAATGAGTTGTACTTTGATGTTGTTATATGAGATGAACATGTAAGTTTTGATATTTGAAACTTGTATTGAAGTAGTTTTGAAAATATTGAAAATATGTGAATCCCTTGTGTGTTTGATGATGAAAAACGAGTTATTTATGTGTTATTTTGAATAAATGATTGACATGGTTGTTATTGGTGAAAATGAGGAAAGATCCTAAGGTTGGAGGAAATCGCGGAGGAGACTTTTAAAGTTACTCGGAACCGATCCCCAACACTCACCAAGGTAAGGGATAAGTGTCTCTAAATCATACTTGCTGATATGAATAAGGTATGTGAAAGAGGTAATGGTTTAATATGATGCGTCTGTAATTTATGCATTATGTTGGAAAATGCGTGACTTTTCTGTTATAGAAATGAAATTAATATTATTGGGGGAGTACCAATGGAAATAAGACTCGGAAACATTTATTGGGGGAGTCCCAATGAAAATAAGACTCGGAAACATTTATTGGGGGAGTCCCAATGGAAATAAGACTTGGAAACATTTATTGGGGGAGTCCCAATGGAAATAAGACTCGGAAACATTTATTGGGGGAGTCCCAATGGAAATAAGACTCGGAAACATTTATTGGGGGAGTCCCAATGGAAATAAGACTCGGAAACATTTATTGGGGGAGTCCCAATGGAAATAAAACTCGGAAACATTTATTGGGGGAGTCCCAATGGAAATAAGACTCGGAATCATTTATTGGGGGAGTACCAATGGAAATATGACTCAAAACGAATTCAATCTATTTGGGGAGTACCAAAGGAAATATGACTCATAATGAATTCAATCTATTTGAGGGAGTACCAAAGGAAATATGACTCATAACGAATTCAATCTATTTGGGGGAGTACCAAAGGAAATATGACTCATAACGAATTCAATCTATTTGGGGGAGTACCAAAGGAAAGATGACTCAATAAAAGTAACATTATTGGGGAAGTACCAATGGAAAGATGACTCAATAAAAGTAACATTATTGGGGGAGTACCAATGGAAAGATGACTCAATGAAAGTAATATTATTGGGGAGAACCAATGGAAAGATGACTCAAATGAAAGTAATATTATTGGGGGAGTACCAATGGAAATAAGACTCAAAATGAAAGTCATATGCATGCTATAGGATATATAGTATGGGACTATAGGGTGATTATGAATGATCAGAAACGTGAATGTCACATGAAAGTCATATGCATGTTATAGGGTATATAGTATGGGATATATATTCTATAGTGTGAATATGAATGACGAGAAATGTGAATGTCACATGAATGCCGTATGCATGTTATAGGATATATAGTATGGGATATATATTCTATAGGGTGAATATGAGCGATAAAAAGGAAGATGTTGAGAAAGAAATTAATATACATGCTATAGGATATATATTATGCGATATATATGTTATAGGGTGGATATAAATAACGAGACCGATGATGCTTCGAACGAACGTAATATGCATACTATAGAATATATATTATGGGATATATATACTATAGGATGAATATGAGTAAAGTGGAAATTAAAGGAAGATGATTTGAATGTTTATAATTCCGTATGTGTGTTTATGAATTACATCAAAGTTGGATTGTATTTGAATGTGGATTATCATGTGATGGTAGTTTTGAACTAATGACTTACTCCCTTTTGTTTTGCGTGTTGTTTATGATAATCTCATTGTAGGTAAATGAAGGATTTTGAGGATGAAGCTCAAATAGGAAGCCTTTGTGTCTATTTACTCGAGTGTCTTTATTGCTATTTGACATTGTAGTTGATTCGATAGCATTTTTGGATAAATGTAATTTGATTAGGATAATATGGTGACATGTAGTTATGGACGTTATAACCTTGGAAAACCCGTAACTGGATGTATGTGGTAAATGTTATCTAAATGAATTATGTTTTTCCGCAACATAAATTTGTATGATAATATAATAGGGTAAAGGGTATTTTCAAAGAGTGATACTTGAGAGTTTTCAATGAAGGTGACGACTGTATGTAAGAAATGATTAAAATAAATGAAAAAATTTCAAGGGTAGAAAAACGGGTCGTTACACGTCCCGCCGCTATCTGTTTGACCGAAGTCATGGATGGTATGTTTAACAACGCTTATGTGTGCGCTGTTGTATGTACAACAGCACCACCTCCAACAAGCGCTGTTATATATGTACATGACTTTTAACCGCGCTCATCACAAGTGTTGTTGATATGTCACCCTTAACAACACTCATTTAACATCACTCATTTAACCACACTCATATTAAATAAGGCAATATCTCTTTCAGACATTTTATCAAACACATAAGAAGCTTTAATATAATAAGAATGAAATCAAACTATTGTGTGAACATGTCTCTGTTAACCATATGCAGTAATGAAAAAGACGAATGTGATGAAAAAGATGTCATATAAACAGCGCTTGTGTAAAAAATCGCTGATAAATGTGTCATATAAACAGCAGTTTGCGTAAATAAACATTGTTAAAGGTGTTGTATCACTATTTTTTACATAATTTTTGAACCATTAATCAGAACTGGACATATTATTATGCATCTGAGGTAGAAAAATATGTTCTACCCAAATTTTCTCACTACATTAGAAAGGTGCACCCTGAAATTAAAAAAAAACATTTTTTACTATTTTTTTTTATTTTACAAGTGTTATAGTGAATATGTTTTTGATAATGCTAGAGTAACAAAACACATATTTTATGTTGCGTTGTTGACATTATATCCGCTTATCAATTTTAACAACGAATTTTTAAAGATGTGTTGTATAATTTTCCTCTGCCTTTTGTTTAACAGCATATTTCTAGGATACGCGGTTGAAGAATCGCCTTTAAAGACGTTTTCTAGCGTAGTGCAATATGTGGGTACTAAATGATCACTGATTTAGATTTAAATTAAATAGTTCAATCAATGTTGACTCCCACAAAAATGAACTAAAATATATCTCAAAAAAAAATCATATCCTTCAAATAAGTAATTATTCACACATGCCCAATAAAAAAAAACCCCAAATTTACTCTCAGGAAATGCTAACCGTGTTCAAAAAACCAAAGTTTTTACTTGCAGGATCACATACTCAGTTTGATAATCGATATACATTTGCTTGAATTTTAACATTGCACTTCCTTCTGATCCTATCATTCATTTTTCCGTAAATATGAGGTTATCATACTACAAGAAAAATGGAAGATCTAGAGCATTGTTTGGCTAGCAACAACATGGTCCATTTAGTACCATTTTCAACTCAAACATGTCGACTATGCAGTACATCGTAGATTTACTGAAGGTAAAATCTTAACTTTGGATCAGCAGACAACATACCATTTTTGCATTACCTTGTTCTAGTTGAGCTTCAAACCTTCACTAATATCTCACTCATTTGTCTTGAATTTCCTTTCCTCTTGTATTTTTCCTTTTGAATATATTGTAGCCCTAATTCATTTTTAATAAAATAAAAACCAAAGCCTTTAGCTTAAAAAAAACATTTAATATTTTCTCCTTTCAGTAATTATGAAAATTTAGTGAAGGATTATAAATACTCCATAACAGGGTTATTCTCAAGTTAGGTAGAAGACCAACCCCTCCAAAGGCAAGAATTAGTACTATGATGAGCTTTGATATAATTTGCAAAGTCATTCATTATGGAACCAGTTCAACACAAATTATATAATCTTAATTTTCAGATGTTCTAATATAGTCTCAGGTTAACATAAACTTACAACTTTTAACACTAACAAGTAGTACTATAACAAGTTCACATTAATATGCATAAGACAAAGTCTTAATACAATAATAATAATTACTTAGATATAAGAGTAGGACTCAAAGTCCTAACAATAAACACTTCTAGTAGGGAGTGACACCTACATTTGCAGGTGAAAAAAACCCATCTTTCAAAAGCATGTCTTCTGCTTCCTATACCCATAAAACACATATATAATTTGAGATAAGAAACAAAACCATAGAAGAAAGAGTCTCATTTTCCATTTAATGAAAAGGAGGGAAAAGAGTAGTTAGGGTTTTCATTTACCTGGTGAATATTAGCTTTCTTCACGGGTTGATGATCAGGCATAAGTCCGAAATGAATGTGTGGAAAGTGGGCCCACTGAAGAAAAAAAAATAGACCCCATAAATGAGAAAGAAAAGAAATGTTATTTTATAATAGGAGTGGATCCATTTACTAAAAGAGTAACTTTAAAAAATTTATTTCATATCTTAGTCATAAATCTAAGGAAATCTAATGGTTTAAATTAGTAAGTAGATATAAACCATTATATTTCCTATAATTGATGGCTAAGATGTTGAGTAAGTTTAAAAAAACTTATTATTGGAGTAAGTTGATCTCTCTTTTTTTTAATAAAAGATTGAAAAGTTAAAATAAATTATTTTTTCTCATAGTCTAATACAGACTCTCAAGTATTGGACTCTTTAATACTATACAGATGAGTTATGAAAAGTCTTAAACCAATAAGGCAAACAAAACAAGTTTAGGCATATACTTGATTAAACAAAAAAAAACTTTGTTTTCCAAAGGTAAAGATGAATATTATAATTAGAAGTAAGTACAAGAAGTACTTGATTAGAAAAGAAAAGTCTTTAATTAGTAAAAATTGAAAATAATCTAAAAATAGGAAAAAAAATCTTAAGAGGGTAAGATTTAGAATCTCCTTGGATCTCACATTCTTTGCAGCTGCACTAAAGGCTTCTCTGTGGCTTATATCAGGATTCCCAGCTTTTATACGTTGGATCTCATCCCTGAAATTTAAATGATGTCAAGTTTATCTAAATGTTATCAAAATAAAAAATGTGAAATCAAATAATTTATGGTGTTAATTATATAATTAGTAGGAGAAATAATGAAAATGTTAACCAATACCAACACAAATGATAGTGTTTGAGTAGAGAAATCATTACACTTTCTAGAACCATAGTCTTTTCAAATATTATATGATTATCAATTACTTATTTTATGTTTTTAATGTACAAAATAAATAAAAATACACCATGGTAATAGTATTGTGACTATTTCTTATGGGTTTTGATTCTCTCTGGTACTGGATGGTCAAGTACTGGAATGTGAGGTTCATATTGCTTTTAAAGTTAAAAAATATATTTTAATTAAAAATAGCTTAAAATCTGTACCGTTAAAAAATATGAAATGTCACATGTCATCATTCTAACTTGTACTAGACC